CATCCCACGCATTGGCTGGTCGCACAGGCCTCGCATCACGCACCAGCCATGCGCCATGCACCACGCACCAGTCATTGCCAGCCCTCACGCACTGGCACCATGCATCACTCGCACTAGCCAGTGCCTAGCACTACTTGTGCTTGGTGCGAGGCATGCGCACACGCACCAGCCATTGCACGCAAACGCACCAGCCCACACGCATTAGCGCGACTGCTATGTGAGGCCAGTGTGCGAGGCTGCGAGGCACACACGCACACACACGCATGCCCCTGGCATTGCGATGGTGCTTGTGCGTGGTGCCAGGTCTTGCGATGGTGCCTAGCAAGGCCTGTGTGTTGCGATAGGGCACCACATGCACCCAGGCACCACGCTAGCATGTTGCTAGCTACTATGGGCTGCTTGGTGCCTGTGTGGCTTGCGATGGCTGCCATGCGCACCTAGGCACCCATGCTAGCATGCTGCTAGCTTGCGATGGGCTGCCAGTGTGCGCTTAGGCTGCAATGGTGCCTAGCACACACTGGTGCGCCTAGCACACACATGGTGCACCTAGGCATGCTATGAGCTAGCCTAGCCTAGCTACGGCTACGCTCATACTTGTTGCTTGTGATTTTACGACGCTCGGTATCGACGCCCTAGGCTCGATTTCCGACGTCTGTATTCGTAAAACTCTATCGACTCATTAAATCCTTTCGGATTAATTCGACGTCTCGGATCGGAGATTCGATTGGGTTCGACCCGAAGGGTTCAGTTAAGATTAAGCTGTAATATCAATTGTACCTTGATATTACTGATCGGAAGCGGCCTCCACCTAGGCATTCCGATCACTTGACCTTACTGAAGAATTAGCTCTGTAATAATTCTGTGAGCTCTAGATTAAATATGGGTAATTTAAAAGTTACCAATATTACTCTGCAAATGGCCGATCGTTCTATTAAATACCCCTTAGGTGTTTTAGAGGATGTTCCTGTTACAGTAGGTAAATTTTATATACCTGTTGATTTTGCTATTCTTTATATGGAGGAAGATTCACAAATTCCGATTATTTTGGATAGACCATTCCTTCATACTGCAGGGGCAATAATAGATGTGAAAAGTGGTAAACTTACATTATGTGTAGGGGATGGAAATATTACTTTAAATCTACATAATGCCCCTAAAAGCCCTATTTTAGAGGAAAAATGCTTTAGTATCGGTGTGGTCAATGTAAATAATTTCTCTAATAAGCCCCAAGCTCTCATTAGAGATCCCTTGGAGCCGGTATCTTGTGTTGCATCTTCCGCAGGAAAAATTACTACATGGAAAGATGAAGTGGATGTTATAGAAAGAGCTCTAAATTGTGTAGGGCTTGGGTTTGAAGATGAACAAGTGGAGAAAAATGAGCAAGTTGCGAAAATTAAGCTCGTAGTGCAAGTCCCACCCGATCGGGTGGCATTTGCTCAATCAAGCAAAATTACGAAGAAATCCAAGGCCAAAGAGAAATCTCGAGCAGCTAATAGCAAGAAACCACCTGTCTTACATCAAGAAGCGGCTACGATCGGTGTAGTTGAATTACTTCACCTAATCGATTCCATCTCATCTTGATCGACATTTGGGGTAAGAAGGTCGTGCGAGACCTAGATAAACCAGCGCTTTGCGGGAGGCAACCCGTACTTTCTTGTTTTTTAGAATATTTTTTTCCTTGTTTTAGTCTTTTGAGAGGAAGAGAGGAGGGAATTTAATGTGCTTTAGAGTATTGTGTACAGGTTGGAGAAAAAGAGTTAGCAAAATTTTGAAGAGAAAAAAGAAAAAATTCGGACTCACAATACTATAGCGCGCCCGACCGGACATGAGAGAATGAAGGATTTTGGCCAACAATTCGCCCGGTCATCCGCCCAACCAGACGCGAGAATAAAGTTCCATAAAGAATCAAAATCGCCCGACTGGACGCGAGCCCAGCAAATTTGAATTCGTCAGATCGCCCGACCGGGCGCGCCACTACGTTCCTCCGTGTTTTTCTTCTTCTTTCTCCTTTCTTCTTCTTTCTTTCTTCTTTCTTACTCTTTCCTCCATAGTTTCTCTCTCTAAAACTCAATTCTCTCTACCTTCTCTCTAAGATCTCTCCTCTATTTCTCACGCAAACTCAAATATTTTTACATATTCCTTCTCCTCTTTTCATCCTCTTTATTCCTATACTAATTTTGTGTATTTTGAAAAAAATTTCAACATGTTTGGAAAGAGGGCTTGAACACAAGGAGGGCGTGGTTCGGGCTCAAATGCACCAGTCGACCCAGAGCTACAACTACCTTAGTGGCCAACAATCAAGATTGCTACTTCGCAACAGCGTGAACGGCTCATCAACCTCTACAAATGGGAGGTAAATCCTTCTCGGTGGTTACACCAAGACACCCTTCAATCTCTAGGTTTATATGAGCATGTTAGACGTTTCATGAATGATCACTAGACGAAAAAGATAAAAAGGCACCGGTTCAAACCCCCCCTTTGGCACCGGTTTTGAACCGTTGGGTATTTGAGGGATGCCAAATCCATGAGAATTTGGCATCGGTTCAAAACCGGTGCCAACTAAAGCATTTGGCACCGGTTAACCGGTGCCAACTACATGCTTTTTTATGGCGCGTTTTTTTTTTCAATACCATTGGCACCGGTTCAAAGTAAGAACCGGTGCCAAAAACCCCACTGAAGGCACCGGTTCTTGCTTTGAACCGGTGCAAAAAGTGTAAAAAAATTTTAAAAACTTTTGGCACCGGTTCTAGTCAAAACCGGTGCCAAAAATACCCCAAAAAAATAAAAAAATTTTTTTTTTTTGCGTTTTTTTCACTTAAATTGATATATAAACATTAACATATATATAAAGTTACATATTTTCATTTTTTCTGTTAACTTTCAAAACAAAATAGGAAAACAGCAGCTCTGTCGCATCAATATGCAAGAATATTAAAACTATATGCCGGCAAAATAGGTAAACAGCCGAACAACAATATAAACAAAATAAGACTTGACTGCATAGGCAGAAATCAACGCAGCAGCTGCCAGAGCATTACAGCACCAACTGGCAAGGAAAAGCAGCAAAAACAGCAGCCTCACATGCAGCAAACCAGAGACCAACAAGCAGCTAGCAGGACTGCATTAACACACAACACACAGGAACACAAGTTGCCAATAACAACAGCAACAGCAAGCAGAAAACACAAAGGCAAGCAGAACCAGCAGCAAACAAAAGAAATAGCACCAACAGCCAAAAAATAAAACAGCACTACAACACCAGACAGAAACTTGGCCAGCAACAACAGACCAGGCCAGCACCATCAAGACCAGGCACCAGCCAGCAACACAAACCTAATCCAGCCCAAAACAACAGCCCAAATCAAATACAAGGCTAAACCTATATATGAAACATTGAAACAAAACCATTTCCAAACAAATGAAGATACATCCAAGAAAGATAAAAAATAAATAAAAGCAAGCCCCATCAACCAAGGATTCACGAAAAAAAAAAAAAAAAGATAAATTAGGGGGGTCAAAGTAAACAAATATCATTTTTACCTGCCAACATTTTGGAAGCTACTTCCCGTATGTAGCAAAAACTAATGAGAAATGGAAGGGAAGCATAGAAAATGTTTAGATTATACGACAAATTAGCAAATGTTGGTTTGATGAAGTAACAATTATACTCTTTTCTTCCCTAGTGATCGTTTAAGTTTCTAGAAGTACTTGGTTTGTCTACAATGAGCTTTCTAGGGTTTTCACTATTGCTTTCTGTAATTTTGCTCATGTCTCTGCAAGTTTCTGTTACTATTAGTTGTTTCTTATTAAAAGACAACTAAACAACTAGGACGATTGTTATGAAACATAGTTATTTTGGGTATGAGCTGATTTACATTGTGAGCTGAGATTGCTGAAAGAGGCTATGATTTGGGATAATTAGGCAAGTTTACCACAAATTTAAATTAGGTTGATGAGTATATGTTCACAATGTGTACATTAAAATGTGTAACAAACATTCAGACTATACAATTAATACCAAGTAAGATATGTCACTAACAATTTACAATACCTACAGCGGATCCTTTTTGTTCTTTCCATTTGAAATCTTTTTGCGAGACAAAAAAGGTCAAAATAGGAAGAACAAAAAGGATCAAATGGCGCATAAGTAAAGAGTTAAAAAGACTTGTCCACACAACATTTACACATCAGTCTCCATGATCTGCAAAATTAAGTATTACCTCGATTCCCAAGAATTAGGAAGATGGTATAGTGCATATCCAGGATGCCGCACATCAGCAGGGTAACTTCCCTGAGGCCTTGAATATGGGGTTCGCGAAACTGCAAATATAGATATACATAAGAAACATAGTCAATTCAAGTTCAATGCTGAAAATAACATGTCTACCTTTTTCAGTGCTAAGGGCCTGAGTTGCCTAAAGGCTGACATAATCACATAGGTCCACAATGATAATTATATGCAAGAATTCAGGAATCCCTGACTTTCCCAAATAATTTGATCTTTTTAATTTCTAGGTGTTTTCACCTCCCAGATTTGGTTGCATGATAATCTACGCTTTGCTAAATAATAGGCTGCGGCCAACTATGGTAGTTTACAGGTTTAAATGAGTATAACAGTGATGTAAATAGTTTTCACTGTCACGCTGAGTGTAATTATTCCCAGGAATAGGATTTCCATAACTTGAGTATGTTCTGGGACCTCCATCCTCGAGACCAGGATTGCTGTAACTTGAATGTGTCCCAGGATAACAATCCCTGGGAGGCATTGGATTCAAACTTCCAGGAAAGGAGTAGGACCCTGCTGGTGCTTCTATTCTGCCAGAAAATCCAGCGCTTTCATATCTGGTATCTACCTGCATCAACAGTGAATATCATTTTTATATATTGTTGCAGAGTCGAAATTGGAATACATACAGGTAACAAAAATACATACTAGTATATTTTTTGGGTGGGTAAGAAACGTGGAAAATTCACACAAATAATCATAAATGCACACAGGTAATTATGCATTTAGTCAATAAAACATGTAATAAATTTTGGGCACGTTTGGTTACTTAGGGGAAAAAAGGTGATAACAAGTATAAAAATTCAAGAGAGAATATTTTACAAGTTAGAGGGTCATTTTCCAGCAAGTGGTTTCCAAAGTTTCAAAGTTGGTTTCCACGATGAAAAGCCTATCCTTCATAAAAGTGTTCTTCCAGTAACATGGACTGGTAAGGAAGAACACAAAATCAATGATAGGAAGCTAAAAAGATGTATGTATAGTTAGAACGGAGCTCATATTAGACGTTATCCCCAACACTAAAGGAACCCCCAACCACCTCAAATAAAATTGAAAAATATAAAAGAAAAGAAGACCCACAGATGCATGAACCTCTCTACTCACATTGTTGTAAGAACGAGGCTGCATTGCCTGTAATGCGACAGAATGCTCCACCCCTGTATATCCTTTAATTGCCTGTATTAAGGAAAAATTAGGTTAGTTTCCAACTCGAGCATAAAAGAGAAAATCAGAGTAAAGACTTGTTAAGCATGATCCAGGCCTTTGAACTCACGTTGGCAGGGTTTGGCAGCGAAGCATGTCCAGGAGGACCAATCCAAGAGCCTGTCCCAAAATCTTAAATGGAGCAAAATCCATGAAAACAAATCATGTCACTATGATGAAAATGGAGGAAAAGAAAAATGTATAGGGTATGTCAATTAAATCACAGTCGAGTGAAGTAAAATACCTGTTTGAAGTCCCAACGAGGGGCTTGAATATTGTGAGTAGGGTTGTCCAGGATCACAGGCTGACAACCTAGAATCTGAATGGACAGAACTTTCATGGGAATATGATGGATGATCACCCTTGGACTTCATGCTAGATGACAATATAAGGGCACGCTTCATCTCATCAAGCTGCTGCTGTGCCTCTTTCCTACTAAGCTCTGTGAAGATGACCTAGTACAGTAATATCACCATTAAAAATAAGATAAAGCAATGTAGATTCCCTTTACGGATTTGAGCAAATGTATACAGAGTATATGTCCACAAATTTGAGCAACTTCTTGTATACATTAACGCCTTAACGGCATTATATTCCATTTACGGATTCAGTTTTATATTATTGTGAAAAGCTTACTTTGATTTTCTTTATTGGTTGTGGTGACCAACATATAACTCTAATTTGTATAAATAAGGGCATGTTTTAGGCACGTAGACTTTTATCTAGCCAGCTTTCATCATTTGCAACTCAACTTTAGATAGCAGTGCAAGGTGAAGTAAGGACATGAATGACAAAGACAATTTGTTGAGTAGGCAGTACCAAAAAGTCATTGGACTCCTAATGAAGCAAAACCTGTATTTCACTAATTTCACTTTGAATTCCTACTAGTTTCTTGGATATATCTCACTTTTCAAAAACCAAAACAACAAATTGAAAGAAAAAAAACAAAAATCATATACGAAGTAACTAGAAAGAACAGTTACCATACCTTCACCAGTATCCTTTACCATAAGATAAATATAGAAGTTCTGCAGCCGTGAAAATCCGTATGCTGTGCAGTTCTAGAATTGCCCAAAACCACCAAGCATATCAGATCTTTAATATTTCTGCCATCTATATATTTGAGATGATCAACAACTGACAGGTGGGATAAAAAAAAAATTGTTTTTAAAAAATTGCATTACTTCAAAATTTAAAAAAAAAAAATCATAAAATTAACCTAATTATGATTGCTGATGAAAATATTGACTATATATTACATTGACAAGTATGAAAACAACCTAATTACCATAAAAAGATGTACTAGATAGTTGTAATACATAGTGATTTAGGAGGAAAACTCCGTACACAAGATATCTACTACTAAGGTAAATCAGCAACAGAAAGGCTCGGGAACAGCCGTCATCAACAGACAACCACGAAGCAATAGGTGTAAATCAGCTCCATACAAATAGTGAATAGCCAACAAACATTATTATCACAGTTATCCTTATTAGTGCTAGACTAGTAAATCTTAAGAGTGCCAAGTAAAACGCAATATTTTCCATGTTGTACTCAGCAATGCAGGCAGGTTCATATCGATATTGTGTCATATATCTTAATGTATTCTCGACTAAGTCCTAGTCTAAAGAAAGCAGTCTAACCCAAATACCCAATGCTTAACTAACTGGGCAGTGGCCAATTTCTATAGTAGGTCAGTATCAAATGTGGCACACTTGTACCAAAACCTGTTCTCGGATACTCAGGAGTTTAACCATCAAACACTAACCCTACCCAAAGGTGATGCAAAGCAATACTCCATTCAGTAATTTTGCAATATTCATCAACCTCAGAAGTCAAATGCAATGTCAATCTTTTCCAGAAAACCTGCCTCAATCTTCCATTAAAATCCTCACTTTAAGTTCATGTTTCCAATTAATTAGCAACAACGATTATCAAAGGATACAAATCATACAATCAATGCAAAAACCATAGTTTAAAAATCAAGTATAGCATACATTTCAGATTAAAAAATTATCAACTAAATTCCAAAAATTATCAAGAAACTCAGATATCCCACATTCATCAAAATCTAAAAACTTGAGCAAAGGATAACGAAATATAGATACCAACATTGCAGCAAGCAAAGCAACACAAAAACTTTTAACTGGTTGCAATTTGACACCACTTTACTGGAAAGAAATTGACGGAATTAGGTTGAGTGCCAAGTAAGGCAGTTGTTTCAATGGAGGAGAAAGCTCAGAACTGCTACAATATAACGCAAAGCTAAATAACCCAGAAACCCTAACCTCGATTTCTGATTTTTGGTTCGAATTTGATTCGAATTTATTGTTGTTGAAGACGCACGCACATCATATTGATTCAAATAGACGCACCTAGAAACCCTAACCTCCAATATTGTAGAAAGAGAGAAGGAGAAGGAGATCGAAAGAGAGAAGAAAGGAAAGGGAAAGTAACGGTTATGGAGAAGGAGAGAGACGGAGTGTTAGGAAAGCACATAAGCCCCTTCAATGGAGAAATTCGAGTACGCTACAATGGAGGAGAGAGAGAGGCAGATCAGATGAGAACGAAGAGGAAAGAGCAAGGAAATGAAGATGAAGACGCGCCTTAACCCGGGATTTTTTTTTAAATGGCACCGGTTCAAACCGGTGCTAATTACTATAGTTGGCACCGGTTTAAGGCGAACCGGTGCCAACTCTATTGCTTTTTTTTTTTTTTTTTTTAAGGTTGGCACCGGTTTGAACCGGTGCTAATTAAATGAGTTGGCACCAGTTTTGGTTGGAACCGGTGCCGAATCCCTATTTTCCAACCCGCCCATTTCTTTTGGCACCAGTTTTCAAGAACCGGTGCTAAAGGGGGGGTGCCTATTTGATTTTTTCTACTAGTGGATATTGGCATGCGAAAATTTGTTGATATGCACTATCCCACTTATAGAGAAATAACATGTGAATTTCTTTTCTCCTTGAATGTGGTTCAATCAAATAATGGTCCTATTTTGCATTTTTAGGTTGAATAATAGAAATGTTAGTTTAATCTATGTTGAATTTGCTACTTTGTTTGAACTTGATCCTCATCCCCCCACCCAATGGCATGAAGATTATAAGGCCGATGATATATATCTTTCTTTGTCAGGCAAACCTTTCCCAAATTCACAACATGCTAGCGCCCTTCCTTTCCACCACCCCATCCCTAAAATCTTCCAAAGATTTTTGGGGACTTGTTTTCTAGCTCGTCATGAACCCCACAACGCCCAAACCAACGAGCTAGCTATCCTAGGGCAATATGTTTATGGGTACGGAAAATTGAACATTGCTCGATATATTATTACCCATTTGAGTAGGCACGCCAATGCATGTAGTAACAATGCCAAGACCCCTATCCATTATGGCGGCCTAATCACTAGGATAGCGATTAAGAAGACCGGGTTGGTGAGTCTAGATATGAGGGGTTGACCAACTGTGGGAGGGATACACTTATGAACTTGCCGTACTTTCAATATTTGAACTGGGTTAAGCCAACCGTATCAATGTTCTAGAGTGGCTTGTCAGGGAAGGGAAGGATTACACACCCGTTTTCCTTCTTCCTAACCCCGAGCTGACTGCCTTTCCCCTTGGGCAAGAGTCTTACACTTACGATATTCTACTTACCCATGCCCAGGCACAGCCTCGACCACGTGCACCATCACCACCACAGCCACACCTTGAGGTACCACCACCACCATCCCATGTGCCTCAGCCACCCCCACACCAGCCTAGGCTAGACTCCGAGACCATTTGGGACCTTTAGAGCATAGGTCAGGCTATAGGTCGCGTAAAGCAGGGAAACCTTAGGAGGATGGTTGGCTATCTTGATCAGAGGTTAGGGTACGTTAAAAGGAACTAGGGTAGGGCCCTTTTTCCCATGTATGATGACTATGCTCGTCGGGGTGCTATTCCCGACGATGTTGTTTACCCCGACTGGTACCAGCCATCACCCCAAGGATATATGGATCCCACCTCCCATGGCATTTACACTGACTATTCCGCATTTTCTGGCTATGGCCGAGACTTTCCTTTTGGGGGGATGGGGGGAAATGTTAACCCTAACTATTTTGGTGGTAGTACTTCTGGTGGTGCAGGTGGTAGTGGAGGTGGTGCGATGGATGAGGATGATGATGATTAGCCATGCTGGGCTAAATCCCGAGTCAATGAGGACATTGTCTGATTTTGGCTTGGGGGAGATTTTTGGATTGAGGTATCTTTCTTTTCTCTCTCATTTTAGTTTTGATGTGTATAGTTTAGTTTTATTGTTTTTTTTAGGTTAGATTTTATGGCTTTGAAAAAAATAAAAAAAATATATACAAAAATACGATCCAATAAATGATAAATCATGCTTCCCTGTGCCCCATACATGAAAATTGTTTTGATTCTTGGTATATGATGATGAGTATTGTGGATAGGTTAGCCATGATTTGATGTTTGATTGCTTGGATGTCTTAACATGAGTCTATTTTGCCCAACTACTTGTGAATTTAGTGCTTGACTAGTTGATTTGGTTAAGAATGTGTGTTAGTTCCTGGTATGTCAATGAAGTTGAGTATTGGTTTATAACTTTGAGTAATGTTTGTATGACTCATTATTATGCACATCGAGGAGGATGACGGCATTTGTTCCCTTAGGTAAACTTCAGATGATTTTAGATACATTTGTTCCCTTCTTGTTTCCCATGTTGTTGCTTGTGCCCTTTTATTGTCTATTTAGCCACATTACAAGCCTATTTTTCCCAATTGGTTACTAGTCCCAAGCTTGGCTTGGGGGAGCTAATAGTGAGTGAGGTGAGGGAGTTGTAGTGTGCACATAATTTGCACAATTTTGGGTGGATTTGAGAAATTTTTATTTGTTCTTATTTTTTTGAGGATTGGAAAAAATTGAGAGATTGTTGTTCAGAGTTGAAAATTTCCAATGTGAGATAAAAGGAAAAAAAGAGCAAAAGAAAAAAAAAATTGTTTCAATGTTCAAATGTTCTAAGTGAAGGTTGATCATAAGAAGAAAAAAAAAAGTCAAATTAAAATGAAAAAAAGAATTCAAAGTTTTTTTGTTCACTCAAGTTCTATAATGTTGTATTTTGTATAAATGAGTGAAGTTGTAAGTGTTGGGAATTTTTATTATAGTTGGATGTTTGGTAAATTTTTGGTAGAGTTGAGTTGTGTTAGAGATGATTTGGTCATTATTTAATTTGACCTTGGTTTTATTTATTAGGATTTTGGCTCTCTTACGCATGGCTTTATACTCACATTTTTCTCAAATGTTTCCTACCCTTTACCTAAGCCTTACATTACAAGCTTTGAAGACCTTCCGACCTTTGTGCATAGAGTTGTATGAATGTGAAATTAGTTGTTTATCAATGCAAAGAATGATTTGATATATTTCGAGTCGACTACTAGGTTGAGTGTATGTCTTTTAAACACACGAGTGCGTGAGTTGGGAGGGCATTGTTCACATATAAAGGGGTGGGTGGAGAGCGATCGAGTACATTTTTTACTCGCCACATAAATGAGAGTTGAGTGTGTGAGCACTAGTCTTGATAATTGTTAGGAAGGATGAGTAGTTGGATGAATTTGATTGGTTGATTTTGATGCAAGCTTGTTGGATTTGTCTTGAATTGGTATGCTTAATTTAAACTATTTTTGGGGTGAAGTATGTTCTATCTGTTCATTGATGAGCTCGGTCATTTTTAGGTGTATCATTGGCTTTTTGGAGCCACTTTTATTACTAATATGCGTTTTCTAGTGTTTTCGTAGTTTTGGTACTATTTTATAGGAAATTGCAAATTTGGAGCATTTTCCCGGACTTATGATAAGCCACTACGAGCATTGGAGAATTATGACAATATTTCATAGCCCAAGACCGTTTGGAGTCGTCAAATCGGTGATTAAGGGCTCGAAAAAGAAGAGATCGAGGCAATGGACCAAGTATTCAAGACCCTAGAGGAAATTTGGAATTGGGCCAAGAGAAATAGCCCAAAAGTGAAAAGGTCCAGCTTGCCTGAGAGCTCGCCCGACCGGGCAAGCCCTCGCCCTCGCGCCCTGCCGGGCGAGGCATATAGAAGGAAAAGAGGCTTCGCCCTAACACGCGCCCGACCGGGCGCAAGTGAAGATTAAAGGCTCAAAAAGGCGGGCTCGGCCGGGCAAGCTCCGCCTGACCGGGCGCGTGTTTCTAAGAAGAAGTTTTGACGATTTAATTTGTTTTACTTTTAATAGGATTTTGTGCTTAAGTAAAATTACGTTTTTAAGCTAGAGACGATTACTACTTCTTTAGTTAGTTAATTTCCTGATTTCTGATTTTAAGCTTTGGTTAATACTCTTATTTTCTCTCTACACCTTTGACTTATGCAATTCATTATTTTCCATTTATTTTGGTAACGATTTCTTCCCTCTTTATTTTCAGTAATTTAATTTCTTTGATTTAATATGCTTTGTTTAATTGCTTTGATTAGTTTAGTTCTAATTATGTGTGAGTAGTTTCATACTAGGGTTTATGGGGATCCATAAATAATATGAAGGGGTAATTTATTATGGTTGATTGTTAATGTTTCAGATTAATTTCCTATTGATTGGTTTACTGCTATGCAATTAGATTAGCGCTGGTTTAATTGTATGAGTTATGCAATATTAATTTGAGATTCGAGAGATGAGAATTGATGTTTAGGCTTACTTTCAATAGGCAGGTTAATTTATAAATGGTTAAGTCAAGATTCGAGAGATGCGATTTAATACCGGTAGATTAATTCTGTGAATACGTAGAGAAAGCCCTTTATGATCTGATTAATTTATGCATTGATAATTGATTGTTATGTTTTTACCCTGTAATATTGTTTATTGGTGAACCTATACCCTAGACATTTTATTATTGATTTTCTCCCTTACTCCACTTGCTTTAGTTTAATTATTAGTTTACTCTCATAACAATAATTCGGTTACTTAATAGTTTAGATTATATTAATTATTTAGGAATAGAAAGACTCGTTTCCCTGCGGATTCGACCCTACTTCCCTATCTACTTTAGCTAGAGGA